AAGTTCAGAAAAAACGTGAAACAATATAGTCAAACCATTTCATGCGACTTAAAAATAGGTTATATTATAGACTGATGCATTTTATATGATGATTGTTGAATATTTGTTTTCATGACTAAAAAGTCATATTTGTCACCAAATATTCTCATGTTTATCTCGAGAATGACCCATAAACTACATAGTACTTGTTCTCTATAAATCAGAGTAATCATGGTGAAATTACATTACAGAAGTTAACACTCACCAAAACAGTCTGTCATTTGAACGATGGTCAAGATGAACAGCAATGTTTGCAGCATCTCAGACTAATGTAATGAGACAGAAATACGGCCTCTGGAAATTATGTCTGTTGATACTATAACACAACTATGTCAATAATAAAAAAATACACGCATATAGTGAGGGGTCATTCTTATTTGACATTATTAGTAATGAAAAAAGACTCAACAACTACATTTGTATTTCCAGAATTGTTAAAATGGTCACTTACCTAATATTTGAAGAGCTCAAAAGACCTGATGTGACAGCAATTTTTATTTCAATCCATTTGGTGCTTTTTATTTGATCTGACTGTTTTTCTCAAGTTTCAGAAACGACTTATCATTATTATCATTACCATAGAGATACGTGTACTTGATACCCCTCCCATCAACAGTAAAACTAGACTAATACAGACACCAGTATTGTTAGCACTATAATAATTTTCCAAAAAACTGTTATCTTTATACCTAATAAATTTGATTCATTTTTGTATAATGAAGTATGGTCATTAGATTTTAATTTTTTATTATAAGCCATCCACTCATTTTTTTTTTATCGAGTGTTTTTTAAACATTTAATCGAACAATCTACTTCAATGGACTGTGCAACAAACAGACAAACAGAAACATTCCAGAAGAAATTGTTAAAGACATTAAATGTTGTATTGAATCCTAGGCCTTTCCACCATACAAGAGCCCTGTTCAGAAGTTGTGAATAACCACAGGCTGGCGTAGCTGATGGCAGATCACCTCGTCTATATATAGGGAGTTGGTCTTGACCTGGATCTCCTCCTCCAGGCTCAACTGGCGCCTTGCTAGAGCTTTCAGTTCCATCTCTGACAGTTCAAGAGCCTCGGTCAGTCTAATGGAGAGACATAGAGGGGAAGATGCTTTTATTGGGGACATACTAGCATATGAGACATATGTTTCCGAATCCCTTCCCCTACCTCTCAGTGTGGCTCGCGAGCTCCTTGACCTCCTCCAGCAGTCGGATTTGAGCTGGGTCGTGGCAGAGCTCAACGTTGGGTCTTTGGCTGCGAGTGGACAGTCGAGTCTGAGCAACTTTGAGTGGAGCTTCTTTCTCTGTGATTGCCACTCGTAGAGACTCCAGATTCTTCTCCTGATTTGCTGTCTCTGCTAGCAGCTTTAATTCCAATTTACATTTAGTCATCATTTAAGACTCACTTAAATATTTAAAGATTAGATCTTATTTAATATAATATTTAATATAAAATAGCTAGAAATATTTTATATTTAAGAAAACCAATTTATTGACAAATCTCAAAATAAATATATGATTTTCATTATTAAAATGTTGCTGTGCCTTAATTAACTGGTAAAACTGACTTGATGCTTTGATTTGAATGGATGCAGTGCTAGAAGTGCAACTGACCTCATTGAGCTGGTTCTCAAACTTTGGCAGTTTTGGTCTCCTCTATGCGCAGCTCAAAAGCCCTTCCCGTGGCCTCGTACTGTGTGTGCATATCTGCAGCCGTCTGCTCTAGCAGGCTATCCACGAGAGCTCTCATAGAAAGAGAGTTGTTCTTCTCTTTCTCAGCTTTGCTAATGTTTAAGTTGCAGAGGCTCTCCCATTCCTCAGGAGTCACTGCAGATCTGGAAATAGTAAAAGCAATGATGTTTACACACGCACACACACATACTTGCATATGTGGTTTACGGGGACTCTCCATAGGCGTAATGGTTTTTATACTGTACAAACTGTATTTTCTATCACCCTACACCAACCATAGACCTAAACCTACCCCTCACAGAAAACCATATATACTGTACCAGTACACACACACACACACACACATATATAAATATATATTCACAGAAGAAAATGATTGAAAACCTTCTCTTAACACATAAATAGTATAGACACTTTTCTTACCCAAGACTAGAAAAGTTTAAATTCCCTCCATTTAAACCGGGAGATGAATTAGTGAGAAGAGAACAGAAATCATCAATGCGCTCGGCCTGAAATTTGTCCTGCAGGTCCTTTTCCAGATAGTATTTCACTGAACGAATGAGCCTGAAAAGCACAGGGAAAATGTACTAACTAAAATTCATTTTTGAACAAATTGATATTATATAACAAGCATTTCATCAAAAAAACAAAAACCCCATATTTATCAATAATGCAAGGATTTAGTGCCATATTTTAAACACGTTTCTCATCATTTTCTGTGTAGCAAAGAAAGAAATGATTTTTATAAAATTTTTATAATCATTTAATGGTTTAATTAATATTATTTAAATTAAATTTTTTTAATTTACAGGTTTGACAGATGCTTCCACATGAAACATCAAGAAAAAAATTGATTCTTTATGATCTGACTCCCTTAATTTAGTCTCTGGGTTCGCAAATGAGTCTTGTCACTGTCTAACCGACCTGATCTGCTCATTGATCTGCTCCAGTGTTCGCTGAAGCAGGACCATCACTCCTTCAATCACCTCCTTCTCCTTCAACAGCTCCTCTTCCACCTCATCATGCACCAGGTCAATCGCCACCCGCTTCTTTCTGAGGCATAGACATGGTTCAAAAGTTCAAAAAGACATAGTTCAGAGTCCAGAAGTTCAAAAGAACAGCCTTTATTTGAAAATCAATTTGGTTGTGTAGTTCAAGTAAAACACTTGATTTTAGTAATGTCTTGTACTGGTTGTGCTCTACAGTGAGAAGTACCTCTCAGTCAGACATTGCAAATTCACTTGGAGAGGCTCAGAGCAGCTTTCTAAGGCTCTTTCTACACGGCTCTTGAAAATGATGAGGGTCTCAATCTCCTGCACTATCTCCTCAAACTTCTGGTTCAGTTCCAGCCTCCAGAATTTGATGTCCTGGATTCTCTGCTCTAAAGAGATGCAAGACTCGTGGGAACATAAGTAGGCCAAAATTGTTATCTGAAATATCTGAAATAACTCATAATTTCTATCACTTATCTTTAAAATCTTTAAAAGGTCAAGTATCATCCCTGTGTTACTGCACCTCTAATGCAAGGCCATTAACCTTCTTTGCATCCTGTCACATGTGGTTTGGTGTGTTGCTTACCCAGCTTCTTTAGTGCATCCTGTTGCATGCGTTTGGTAGATTTGTCACTCTCCTCTATGAGTCTTTGACACTCTGCTATCAGTCTCTGTGAGTGTGATTGTTCTGCCTCCGAGCTCCTGAACTGCACCTGGTTTGCATGTTTCCACTCAGATGGCAGAAACTTATCAGGGGGTCCCATCAGCCGAGACAAGTCATTCTTTGGTTTAAGTCATAGTTTTATGATTACTATATGATAACTAACTAACACTGTAAACTATTATAACACTTGAATTAAAGTCATACTGTCACCAAAAACAACTATCATATATATATATGTATATGACGTAAAACCACCTCTATTTATCTCTCTCAGCATTGTTTTCATTATTAGTACTTTTTTAGTATTTTGCCATGATAATCAACAAAACCCAAATGAACAAGACTGTTTTCCTTTTTAATTTAAGTAACATTTATTTCATGTCATCAGTATGCATTTGTAGTTGTTAGAAAATAAAAAAGCTCTTCCTTTACAGAGAAATTTTGCTTTACAGTCTTTTACCTTTTATACAGTATAATTTGATACAAATATATTCTATTTATACATTAGCATTAGTCTAACATTATAACAAATACACATTCTTTCAGCCAAAAGAGGACATATTTGGTTTGACAAATATGTTTAAGTACTCTGCGCAGAGTCTGCTTATACTTAACACGACAAGTAATGTCAAACTGTACTGACCACTAAAATACACTTGGTCAAACTATATCATTTCTGCACATCCTTCAGTTATTCACACTCAATTTCAATGAGACACAAATAATATAATAATACCACTTCAGTATGAGTTATAAACATAAATAGATCCACATAAAGTAAATACGTGCCATAAAAGTACTAAATTAAATTGTGCAAATGCAGCCTTATCTTGACAGTGTAACAGTCTGCAACGGAACGAGAAAACAAGGACAACATTAGCAGTAACCATAAAGACTGAAATTCTGATGTACAGTAGATTAATAAAACATTTTGTTTAAAAAGTTACAAGATAAATGCATGCTAAATGTTTTGAGGGACTGTGGTAATAGTAAGGCTGTGGTGTGAATTTATTCATTAAATTAATTAAATTAAATTAAATACATTACTGGTATGCTTTTCTTAATTTGTAACAACCTTTTTTCAAAGACTTTTTAGAATCGATTTCAATAATAAGAGTACGAATTTAAATGTGCTTACTTAAAATACCACAATCTAGTTGGGACTGGTCCCATCAACTGGCTGTGTTTTAAAATATACTGGCTGTGATTTATAATATTTTTTGGATTAAAAAAAAAAAGAGAACAAGAAAACACTGTAGACACTGTATCACATACCAGTAAAACCTCAAATCAATTTTGGATTAAAATTGCACTTGCTTGAATTCGCAGGTATGTTTGGTTTGACATCTGGTGTTTGTAATTTTAATATTTTTATCTATAGGCCTATACAGCAAAACTACAGAGCTTCCAGTAGGTTATTTTACGGAGCTGTAAACACGGGAATCTCTGACCGCATGCAATCTTTGACGAACACCCAATTAATATATCAAACTAGGCTATATATATTAAATTGTACATAGGTACAATTGTACATAGCCTACATTATTTTATTTACAAGTTTCATGTTTGTGTTTATCCCGTTTTTTCCCCCCCAATAAATTGTGCCTGCCCCCTCACTTTGTGCGCTCTGGCGCCGACCCTGGATGTCCCTCTAGAATGAGAAACAAGAGACCAAAAAATGCAGATGAGCTGAAGGCCACTGTCAAAGAAACCTGGGCTTCCATACCACCTCAGCAGCGCCACAAACTGATCACCTCCATGCCACGCCGAATTGAATACATATACATACATATATATACATACATATATACACACATAATAACACATACACATAATTGAGGTTATTTATACACAAAATATAGAAGTAAAATATTACTCGCCTTGAAAGGTTGACTAATACCCACAATGCACTGCAAGCTGCTGCTGTAATAGCACAGCACACATTCTCCCCCAAGAACTGGAATTTCATCTTTGTTCACGTAAACCTGTGAACAAAGAAAACAGAATTTACTACTCAGTTGCTTATTTGACAAAATATTCGACAGCCTTTAAAGAAACATAGATAGCTAATGTCACATACCTGAAAGAGCTGATCACTGAAAGACACCTGGTCATCCTTCACCCAGGTGTACGTGATATAGTCTGAAACACTTTTAAAACCGACCTGTGAAGTGACAAGCACAAGGTCTATGTTAAAAACACCCTGGATAAAATGTACTTCACAATACAGTATTTTAGTATCACTACTGTAACTATATACGATTATACAGTTAGTTCTATTTTATTATTTGCAGTCTGTGACCTTATCAGAACAGACCACATTTTGGGAACCTCTCTCACCTTATATAAACCGATCCAGTCCCAGGCACTGGAGGGAAAGGACTGAAGAAGGCTGTAGGTTATGAGGGCGTCAAAGTCGGCACTCCACTCTCCTTCAGCAGACACCTGCACCAACGGCGTCTCGTACATCTTTTTCAACTAATTGTGGAGAAACAAATGATCACACTTGTAGTATTTTATAGAACAAAAGTGACTATTATTTTAGCCAAACTCCACCTCCCCACCTCCAAGTGGAAGATGCCGATGACAGGCTTATGGTCGCTAATGCCGTACTCCATTTTACTTGTGTAATACTCCTGGCTCAGTTTTAGAGGGAACTCGTCTTTATGTTCCTCCTGCAGTTGTTTCTTTGGTTCCTCTTCATTGTGACCGTCTTCATTAGCCTCCTCCGATGGCGAGGACTTGGGTTTCACTCTCCAGAGAATCCGGTCACACCACGCAGGCTTGCGTTTCTTACCACTAGCCAATCACAAAGACAGGAAAACAAGTTTAAAACCGTTAATAACATACAATAAAGTTGTTGATTTGAATCCCTTTTCCAGATTTGCACTGCTTTCAACTGGAAGAACATTGGCATGTCTTTCTGTACGGCCATGATTCATTTTGTGAAAATGAATTCATGTGGCATGCTTTTATAACTAAGAAAGTCATGTTTGTGTCCAAGTCCCAAACTCCTCACACCAAATACACTCAGGACAGAATGGTGGCATAAAGATCTCTCACATGGACACAAAGTTGCTCTAAGATTTTTGGGGGCTGTGAGAGAACAGCAACAAATTAAAAAAAACAAAAAAACAAGGATTTAAGAATAAAAACTTGCAATGTTGCTTGTTGTTTGAAATGATAAAAAGTGATATACAAATAAATTTGTATTAAACTAAAAATATTTCTGTAATATTCTAATATAAGGTATAGAAAACAAAATTATATTAAAGATTTAAATAAATCACTTCAATTTAATACAAACTAAATATTGTGCAGATAATATTTTTAACATTTGTTTTGGGTTTGTAATTTGACATTAAATATTATATTATATATATTATTATTATATTATATTTAATGACATTAAATATATACGTATATGATTAAATATATGATTTACACCACTTGACAAAAAAAACTTTTTTGTCAAAATAAATTAATACTTTTAATCAGCAAGGATGTGTTAAATTGATCAAAAATGGAAATAACAAAAATGGAAATATATATTGTTAAATTGATCAAAAATGACAGTAAAAACTTTTAAATTGTTACAAAAAATTCTATATCAAATAAATGCAGTTTTATTTGTATTCATCAAAGAATCCTGAAAAAATGCATCACGGTTTCCACAAAATATTAAGCAGCACAACTGTTATTGATAACATTGATGATAATAATAAAAATTGTTTCTTGTGTACCAAATCAGCATATTAGAATGATTTCTGAAGGATCATGTGACACTGAAGCCTGGATTAATGATGCTGAAAATTCAGCTTTGCATCCCAGGAATAAATGACATAAAATAGAAAACAGTTCCTCTACATTGTAATAATATTTCACAAAATCACTGTTTGTAATGTATTTTTGATCAAATAAATGCATCCTTGTTGAGCAAACGAGACCTATTTAAAAAATTTAAAATAAAATAAAACTAATCTTATAAACCCCAAACTTTTGAATGGTAGTGGCCTTTATATTTTAGGAAGGGAGTAAATTACAAGAGGATCATCATATTTTGTAGGTCCCTGTGTTTAAAAAGTTTGAAATCAACTGCTCTAAAACACAAGTCCTTGAGTGTCTCTGATGTGAGTTCAGTCACGCTGCATCTCCTTTAGGAGGTCAAAAAGCATTTTCACTAAGCGAGCCGATTCGTCCACATGCTTGATGACCGTGTATGTTGCAAAGATCTGAACAGCTGCTAGAACCGACAGCATAGAAACACAGATGACATGATTAATACTTAAACTCTTTGCAACACACAACAGCAACTATATGTAAACAGACTGGATCTATATGGATGTTATTGGTTTATGTATGGTGCTTCATTTCAGCAGTAGATTAATAGGTGTTACAGGACGGGATGGGTGGAACGCAATGCACTGGTCTGCATTAAAGTGTGAATGAGGTCTGTCAGCTCTAGGGCAAAGAAAAAGACTTTCCGCTGCCTGACGGAAGTGCTACAAACAGGGAAAGGAATGATGGTGGAATGCTAGATAAGCAGAGTAGGAAGGTTCAAGTTAAGAAGCCCATGGGAATTTTAAAGCTTACTTAAAACCAAACCATGTCTTCTGTAGGGGTGAAAAAGAGCATGTATGAACATCTGACAGTTCAAAACAGCCCCGGAAGAGGAGCTGCGGGAGATTCAGGATATTATAGTGATTACTGTTGCCTTCACTGCTATTTAGGAAATGTACTATAATTGAAGTCAACATGAAATTCATTTTAATTCCATAATCAAGTGTGTGTGTGTGAAACAAAATATTCAAAAGAGGACAAAAAGTAGAGCACAACTTGGTTTTATCCCTCAGGAATTGATTGTATTATGAAAAGTCTCTGGTTTTCTTATGAAAAATGAGGAGAAAAGGAAAGTAATTTCAAAAGCATTAGATTATAATAAAAGATTTTCCTTTGGAATAATGAACAACAATTAAATCATTCACAGTAGGGCTGTGCGATTTGGGGGAAAATATCAAATTGCGATTTTTTTGACAGATATTGCGATTGCGATTTGATTTGCGATTTTAAATTTGCAAAGTCAAGCTTCAGCTCAATATTGTCAATAATGTGCAGCACAGTATGGGTATCATTACCCTGCTGAAAAAAACAATAGAAACCATCACAGAAATTCTTATAGTTTCCATTAAACCATTACAAAATTCCTTTTTGTTTTGGGCATTATTCCAATAGGAATTACTGTTGTTCTATTGGTTGCCATCTGCCAGATTACGTCCCACCAATAGAATCCATCAAATAGACACTATTATAGTTTACATTAAAACCAAACAAATTCCTATAATAACCCTGAAATCCATTAAATGTGTTATTTGTTATTATGTTTTGGGAGGGGTTCTATTGTTTTTTTTCTTCAGCAGGCAAGATTATAATGGTATAACTACTTTTACAGAATTAACTTAATTACTGAATTTCACAGAAAATATTTAAACCATTACAAAATTCCTTTTTGTTTTGGGCATTATTCCAATAGGAATTACTGTTGTTCTATTGGTTGCCATCTGCCAGATTACATCCCACCAATAGAATCCATCAAATAGACACTATTATAGTTTACATTAAAACCAAACAAATTCCCATAATAACCCTGAAATCCATTAAATGTGTTATTGTGTTTTGGGAGGGGTTCTATTGTTTTTTTTTCTTCAGCAGGCAAGATTATAATGGTATAACTACTTTTACAGAATTAACTTAATTACTTTCGTTGTCTGTCATTTCGAAGCTTAAGTTGCATACGGTTTTCTTTAGTTTTAATTTGCCTAACTATCGATCTGACCCAGTAGATGCCATAATCCCACTCTGTCTCTCTCCCGTCCCGGGTTTTTTTTTTTAATGGTGGGTGTTTACGCAGTTGGCTAGCTAGAGCAGTGCTGATTGGGGAGAACGGAGGTGCGCTCACTCTTGCCCAGGGCAAGTAAGATTGCAACTCAAGGCTGGCAGTCATGCAATATGCTCTGGAACAGAGTAATATCGCGTCCACATCGCAGGCTTTGCGATTAGGAAATCGCAACGTCTCAAATCGCGATTTCGATTCGATTTCGATTAATCGCACAGCCCTAATTCACAGTAAGACCAGGAATGTGCATTAAGAAATTTAAGATTAAGATTTCATGTCGACTTTCAAACCAATGACTTTCAAAAATACTGAGAATGAAAGTACAATATACAGCAGGATATAAGTTGTGTCATTTACCTTGTGTCGTAGTCATCTGAGTTCAAATCAAATTTATAGGTGGGCTGAAAGTCTAGAGGTCCCTCTTCAAACTTCTGCAAAGTAGCTTCCTTCTGCTTCATCATGGTGAGCTGGTGAGATATTGGACATGCACAGACGCAAACTAACATTACTGCATAAATTGAGTTACTAATTCTGGAACGGCAGATAAATGATTCATATGTTAGTACATTGTTCATTTACATGTATAGACATTGTTACTTCATCTATTGATCAGTACCTGATCTTTAGGCCAAAGAAGATTGAAACGCTGGCTGGTGATGCAGTTCCTTACAAAGAGCATCCCGTGGTCCTCAATACGAAAATTCAAATCCCCAAACCAGAACACCACCCTAGAATGTGTATGCAATAAAGAGCAATGTAGATAAATGATAAGGAATAATGACCAAAAATCATACACAGAAGACTTTTATGTGGTTATTATTATTCATGACTGGGACTAACTTGTGATCCAAAATGCGTGGTGTGTTTTTGGTGTCAAAGGTCTGAGCATCTAGAATATACTCGAAGTCATCCACCCTCTGAGAGGCGTAGTTCATGTGGGCGGTCAGGTGACAGTTCAGGAAGCAGAGCATGTGACCGTAGAAAGACAGACGGATGGACACACCTCCTTTATTACCCTTTAATTTTAAGAAAATAGAGATGAATTTTCCTGCACAGCCATTTTCATTAGGTTTATTAAAAGTTGCCCTCAAAACCATAACCAACTTGCATTTCCTTGGTCTTACCCAGTAGCCGTAGAGTCCTGTGCGGGTGTAAGTGACCTGAATGTCTCTAATAAATGGGGCGTGCTCCAGCTTGGAAAAGAAAAGCAAGAGTAGACCCTGCATCCGTATGGAGGACACCTGAATTGGGCACAATAAATACATTTATATAATTAAATTAAATATTTAAATTATAAAAAAAATTATAATAGATTTAATAACAAATTTTCACTGTAATTATAGATTATATTTATGAATTACAGGTTCACGGTAAGACTTTATTTTAAGGACCAATTCTCAATATTAACTAGTTGCTTATTAGCATGCAGCATATTGGCTGTTTATTAGTATTTATGAAACACATATTAATGCCTTATTTCTGCATGACCATCTTTTAGATCCCATAATCCTATCCCATACCTAAACTTAATAACTACCTTACTAACTATTAATAAGCAGCAAATTAGTTGTTTGTTGAGGCAAAAGTCATAGTTAGCTGATAGTGAGAATTGGTCCTTAAAACTAAAGTGTTACCAAGTTCATTATACCAAATTTATTATTAATTCATTATAAGACTAACTAAAGTTGAAAAAGTGAAAAAGCATAATAGGACCCCTTTAAGTCAAATGTAATAGTGTAATATAGGTAACACTTTATTTTAAGGTCCAATTCTCACTATTAACTAGTCGCTTATTAGCATGCATATTACTAGCATATTGGTTGTTTATTACTACTTATAAAGCACATATTAATGCCTTATTCTGCATGACCATATTTTAGATCCCTTAATCCTATCCCATACCTGAAGTTAACAAACACCTAAACTAAAGTGTAACCAAGTTCATTATACCAAATGTATTATTAATTCATTATAAGTTCATTAAGTCAAATGTAATAATGTAATGAAATATATAAATAATGTCTATATATTATAAATAATATATTACAATGTATATAATTACATATCATTTAAATTGTGTAAATTTCAATAATTTAAATGCACTATTTATTATTATTTAAACTTAAATATATAATTATATAAATTCTAATATAATTCATATTTAAAATATAAATTGATAAAATAATTGTAATTACAAATTATGTATCAATTATAACTGTAATTACATA